CACACTTGCTCCTCCCAGCCCAGCCACATCACCCCAGCCCAACTGGGCGCCCTGGTGAACAGGGAGGAGTTGTCCTTTGTCGGGGACGAGTGCCAGTGTGTCCTCACTGTTTCTGACCAACATTCACTTCTGTTGTGGTCTCAATTGTGAGGTGAAGGTCAGAGAGGCAAGGGAGGGAAGAGACAGACAGGCGGCTGAGGGAAAAGCCATTTCAGGGCACTATTTTAAAATGTGATAGTCAAGTGAGAAAAAAATACCCACTTGCTCTCGGAAGGCAAAGAGAGGAAATGGGGGCTGGGGACAGCAAGAATGCTGGGAGGGCCCCGCGCACCCCTCTGAGCTCAGACACACTGGTTGCGAGCAGTGTGAGCGGTGCTGACCAACAATGTGTGCAATGCCCGGCTAAGGTGTGGAATGGGATATCGCTGCGGGCCCAGGACCCTGCCGCCCACTTCCAGGTCTTAACAAAAGGCACATTTGGGGTTCTCTTCCAGTGTTATAGTAAGGGATTAATAATACCAAACCCAGTAGAAAGAGAACCCCTTTTAACCAGTGATGCTCTCAAAAGAGCAACATTCTTCCCTATGGCGGTTACTTTCTCCTCTCTCTAAAACAACAGGAAATAAACTAAGTCTAGTGACATCAAGACAGTGTGGACTTGTCTGATGTCAAGTTTAACAGTCTTTGACTGTTCCAGTCAAATCAGGCTACCTGAAACCAGACACCATCTCCTTGCACAAAATTATTGAGACCTGACATGTGATAGGCCGTGCATAGCCACAAGATAACTGGACTGAGGGGACACCTGAATCTGCCTGGCATTCAGCTGTTCAGCACGTTCAGACTTTCAACCTCACTGCGTCTGACATGTCATCTACAGACAGTAATCACCAGCATCAGAACTGGACTTCAAGTGTGGCTTTCTAAATGCAGATGACTGTGATGACGAATCGAGTACACATCATAGGTGTTGAATTCAGACAAATTATCACCCATCTAAACACTTACTTTCTTAGACTTCAAAAACTAGAATGCTTCATCATACTTGTTGTAAGCAAGATCATAATAATCCCCCTGGAAAGGCTACTGTGTCGTACTATTCAGGCCATTGTCCTTCTGAAGTTGGGGGTTTGATGAAGAGCCAACTCAGGGGACACTTGCTTCTCCACTAGGTCTGTTATCCTATAAACTTTTCTAGTTTTTTTTTTTTTTTAATAACAGATTTTAAAGAGTGATAGCCTGGCTTTCACACCAGAGGAATGTGAGGCCCAAGGGCCTAAGTGTCTATGACACATGTGGGAACAGGGTTGACCAGCTGTCTGTCTTTCCAGCTGCTCTTACCAGACCTGCACGGTGACTTAAAGGAGTGACTCGTGTGTGTGTGTGTGTGTGTGTGTGTGTGTGTGTGTGTGAAGGACTAGGGGGCATCACTAAGCCTCTGGACAGGCAAAGGTGTGGAAGTGATAAAGATGGCTTGATCAATAGGGCCTGCTGAATCTGGGCAACTCAGAGGCCTGAGGACAATAGCCAGGGAAGCCATTAACCATCAGGCACACCTACAGAGACACACAGTGAGCCGGAGCTGACTGTGTGGGTTCAGACTCAAAGTGTCCCCTGGGCATAAGGACTGAGAGAGGTTGTCTGCAGAGCTGGTGCTCGGAGGCCCTCTGCTGCCTCCATAAGAGAGCATCCGGGAAGCCTTCTTGAAAAGCATTTGTGCTGGGTCTCACACTGCGCTTGCTCTACCCTACGCTTCTATCCGCCATGTGGGTAATTGTGACCTGGTTTGCCAGAGACATTGCTGGTTTCAGCACTGACAGTCTTACAGCCTGGGAAATTCTTCAGTCCCAGCAAACTGGAACCTCTGATGACCCACCATCACAGGTCTTTGGTTTTCAGATTTTCCTGGTCAGAGAAACTGCTTCCAGCAGTGACTCGGCCTGGCTGAGGCCACTTCACTGCAGTGATCAGTGTCCTGCTTGCTCAGAGGTCAACTCTTCTCAACACCCCAGAGGAAGTGGATTCTTTTGAAAGGTCATTCCCTCTTCTGCCTTGAAGAACATTTGTAGAAGAACAAGGTAAAAATCCGCAGGAACCACTTGTGTGAGTAGGAGGCCATTTTGAGTGTAAGATTAGAAATGTGTGTTTAAAAAGAGATTAATTTTAAAACTGCATAGCTGAGAGCAGAGCTTTCATGTGTGAACCCCTCATGAGAAATGAGAGCTGTGGGACGCTCGCGTCGACAAAGTGGCATCTTGTTCCATTTCTGAGGGAGGCGCTTCAAATTTTGCTTGGGGCAGGGAGGGTTTTCTCCTTCACAGCAAGTCTAGTCTCTGAAATTTTGCCTTTAGTCTCTGCAGAGCAGGCTTTATTTCTGACTGCTGATGGTACGTGGGCCCCGAGTCTCCACTTGAGGTGGGGTTCGCTGGAGGAAGGTGCTAGGAAAGGTTTCCTGCAGTTTCCCCATGAAAGCCACCCTCCGAGAAGACCGCCCCAAGCACAGCTGAGCTGGCCGCTTAGAGAGCTGCTCTCCAGAAAGGGGGAGGAGGGACAGAAGTAAAGTGCGCTCTTTGCCGCGGAGACAGATTCTTGATCCTCTTACTAGAATTTAAAAAAATACCTTGAATTCCCCTAGGAGGAAAAAAAAATGACACCTACAGCTTAACATAAAACTACTACCAACGAGCAAAAAGTTATAGGTCATGTAACTAAGAAGTACACATGGAGAAGACAGAGCTCGTAAAAGGGAAAACAAAATCAACCCTAGTGCACAATATTAGCAATACTTAAATAATCCAGTTGAAACCTTTTTTTGTCATTAATGAAAAAACACAACAGAGACGGTTACCTAGACTGAGAAGGGTGGAAATGACAGGTGTCGGGGGAGAGGATGAAGAAGGTCCGTTCCGTTAGAGCTTTGCCAGATTCCTATATACAGCACCAGATCCTATTAAATCAGCTCCCTTGAGTCAGTACAGTTTGTGAGAAATGAACACTTCAGAATTGCAGTATAAAATATGGCCATAAAAAACTTCTGTCTTCCAGTCCTGTGCAGGAAGGCGCACCATGCAAGGTGGGTCACTTTGGGGTGGCTCCCGGTGCTGTGGCCTGGGCGCCCCTTCCCTGGCCCCACCCTGGGCCCCGCCTCACGAGCCAGTCACTTGCTTCCAGAGTGCCCTGTCGTCACAGTGGTGGGCCTCGGTCTCCGCTCCGCTCCCACTCCTGGGACCCCCGACGAAGAGGAAATGAAACTACAGAGCGTGGAGGTGGCCAGACCTGCAGGGGGCCAGAGGACACAAGGGGTTCAGAGCTGCCCCAAGGAAATACTTGCTGCTCCCTCCCATCACAAGGGTTTGGGGGACACAAACTTTTAGGCACCTGACTGTCAATTTTTTTACCTGTCTGATTACTTAGCAATATTTAATAACATCATAATGGCTTTGTGCTTGAATAGGACAGGGTTTTGTCACCAAGAGAGGCCGAGTTGTTTATGGAGCACTACTATGTGCACTTGGGCCACGTGTTGAATCCATGCTGTCATTTTAAGAACTGTTTATTTCTTAGAACAGCTCCACGAAGCAGGGGTTTTAAGAATGAAGAAAGAATGTGACCCTGCTTGGTGTGTTGTCTGTTCTACGATGTGTTTGTGAGACAGAGCACACAGAAATGGGAGCTGTTGGCCTAATCCTGTGGAATCCTGGGGGCTCCAAACTCCTCCCAGGAAGCACTAAGTGCTCCCCAAGCAGATGTGTCGGCATCGAAGGTCTTGATGCAGGTGAACCCTCTCGGCTTATCCCCCACACCCTCCCCCCCAGAGAACTCTTTAGACCGGGACACAAGGAGATCCAGCAAGTAAGTCACTGACGGTGGCACTGCTGTCAGATGTGAGTTGAGATGAAAATGCAGGTCTACAATAGGATGTGGTGTGCCAGCGGCTGCTCACGGACACCTCGGTGAAATTTGAGGACTGGGCTCTCCTAAATAAGGTGGGAAGATTAGAGAGCAGTGGGACCCTTTTTTGAGGGAAATGGGGAAAATGAGGTGTACAGAGTGAGACCAAGCTGAAGGGCACTCTGTGGTGAGAGTGAGGAGGCTGATGGGGATGATGAGGGCAACGGCTCTGTGGTGGACAGGAGTCACCGGAATGGTCCAGTATGAGGTCACAAACACAGCGAGTGGGCAGAGGAAAGTGGGGATTAAGGAGAGGGTAAGTACACCCTCAACGCTGTACCACTCCATGCCAAGAGGAAGGATAATGTTATTCTGACTGGCGGTAGAGCCAATGCACTTAACGTAAATTAGCTTGACTATCACCATTCTCCTAAAATATATCTATGACGAGATCAGGCTGTCCTGAGTCTGTGCCATCCTGTCCTCTGCGCCGAAGGGTGACGCATAGGAACAGCATGTCAGAGGGGAGGGAGAAGCATCGGAAGACAGACAGGCTGTGGATTAAAGCCACAGAATGCTCAGCTGTCCATGGAAATAAAATGAAGGGCTGTGTGAGCACGAAATGATTACATTTTTAGTAATTTTTAAAAAGAATTAAGCAAAGCCCGAGGGTAGCTGGGCACATTATGTGCAACACATCTCTGACGCGCCAGCCTCTCCGCACTTCTCAGCCAATCCCCACTCCCCTCTCCACCCTAGATTTGTCTTAAGTGGCAGCTGAAAAGTTCTGGTTTTGCTACATACGCACAATCTTTTTGGCTGGCCAAGCTGAGGCTGCTCGAAACACTTGCGCTGGAACTGTCCAGGCTGCTGCCAAGGTGTAGTTTCCTCATGTGTCTTACCACAGCGGTGGCATTAAACGCTTGCTGAAAAGAAGATGTGGGAAAAGCAGATGAAAGCGTCCAGCTAATCAGAAGAGACACGAACCCTCCCCTATCATTTCTCCTGTCACCCTGTGGGCATTTCGGTTTCTAACAGTCTCATGATTTCCTACAACAGGAACTTTATGGCTTCTTCCTCCAACAGTCCACATGGTTCTTTATGGTCCCCACCACCTTAAACATATATTTTGAAGGTTAAAAATTTTTTTCCTTTTAACATAGTAAATATATAGAATAAATCTAAACCAATTCTTTCCTAAATGTAGGAGAAGTAGCTTTTAGATCAAAGGTATATTATAATCATGTACTACTTTAAAATGTCAAATTTTAAAATAGTTTAAAATTTTCCCATTATTGGTAGTTTTGTTCCAATTCCTATTATTGGTACTTTTGTGCCAGGGCCTCGAAATAAAGTAGGCCAGGAGCATTAATTTCAGCACAGAGCTCTCTCCAGCTCTCGGTGGAAAGACAGCCACCTCTAAAAACCCACGTCAAGACATAGACTTAGGTAATTGGTGATCGGGCATCTCAATGGTTTAAATCATCACACTTTCACCAGGATATACGGACAAGTTCAACTCAGATTTCCTTTTCCCTCCTTCATTATCACTTTAATGAAAGCCGACTACTTCAAAGTCCAGCAAAGTGAAGGAAGACAAAGGAGAGTATGTTCTTAAGAGATAACAAAGGCGTACAAGCTGGTACTGCGGCTCCCTGGACCCCAGAGAAATACCAAATCATATACTCTACCCCTTTTGTGCCATGATACTCCTTCCTAAGATCTTAAGCACACTGGGGTGCAATTAGCAAAATTTTTTGGGTGAGGTTCTGGGGATTTTCATCAAACTCTGGTGACAGTAACCTTGAGAAATAAGAGATGCTCAAACGATAAACTCTTTAGGAGTTTAGTTTAATGAGCACAACACTTACTCTCCATTTGCTTTTTGCGAAGTTCTTCCGGATCTGAGCGCTGACCGACTCATGGATGTTTTTGTTGAGGGCTGTGTCACCTGCGATCCTACAAAAGAGGCAAGATGCTTCTTCAACAGGGTTCCTTGGAGGCGCCCACACTGGGTCCCAAACTGTCCTCCCGGGGAAGCCTCCTTTGGTCCCTTTCAATGTGAGGGGTCTTGGTCGTTACTCCCCAGGCTACGCGCTTCCTCACAGCTCTGCTCTGGTCCTGTCCGACTTCTAATTCTGCACCTTCTCAGCATCCCTCAGCACCATCCTGGCTGACTTCTCTACCTGGTTCCTGCGTCTTCCTTTTCCGGCCTCAGTTTCCACAACCTCAGAGTCCACAACCTGACAGGGCAACCTGACTTCAGGTTACCTTCCACTTCCCTCCACTCCAGCTTTCTATCTTCAGAGCTTTACCTCAGTTCTCAACCTTGCCCCTGCCTGCTCTGATCACCGGGATGCCCACCCATGCCCCTTCCCAGCTTCCTCACGCCGAGGCCCCTCTCTGCTGGCCTGGATCTCTGCTCCATGGACCCGTGGTGCCCATCTGGCTACCTCCCAGCTCAGCTAAGCTCTTTCTCTGAGTTCAAGGAGAGGACTCCAGTCCCGCTTGGTCCAAATTCAAGACTTGAACTTCCTACAAAAGTCCCCAGGAATCTAGGGACTGCATCCCTCTACACTCAACTGGATTCTGGATATCAAGAAGTAATTTTTTTTATTTAGTGTCCTTGCCCTATAGCAGAGAAGTTAGCTTTACTCTTTCCCTCTTGCCCCCTCCTCCTTGTCTCTCCCGTTGTACCTCCCTTTTTGCTCTCTGATAATCTCTGATCTTGCTGGCAACCTGGCGGTTGCTCATAACTTCTCCTTCCGGCCCACACCCGTCATGCCCTCAAACCAACATCTTCCTTTACACCCAGCCAGTGGTGTCCGTCTCAAAGGAATCTGTATTTGGCTCTTCTCTTCTGAGCTGGGGCCCTTCCAGATCCCTTTTCCTCTAGCACCAAATAATTACATTCTGAGTTGACATCTGATGCCTCAGAAATAATTCCCTGAATCTTAGAAAAGGTAAGAGACAGGTGGAGACACCGGTTATCCCTTCTGGCTGGAAGGTGACCAGTAAGTGAGTAAAACTTTCATGTCCTAAATCCAGATGTTGCTGGACACAAAACAGGTGGGGTGGCCCAGACTGTTAGGTCTAACTTGTTTGGGGGCGGGGGGCGGGACGCGGTGAAAGAGACAAGCTGAGGTCTTACGCAGACAAGAAATCATCAGTGAAAAAAATAATGCCCCCACCCACCTTGCCTTTCACTTTAGAACTGAAAGCCTGGTTGAAGGATGAGGTCTGCACCAGGCTGAGTCTCAGCTGAGAATAGGCTGGTGGCCCCAGTGGACACAGCTCCCCTGGACAGAAGAACCCTGTCTTCTTCTCAGCAGGGCTGTAAATACTTAGCCTGGAGATATTCAGGAAGAATATCAACCAACAACTGCTAAATGTTCCTTTTTCACTGGCACATATCAGTCAACAAAAATAGGGTATCTAAGTTGGCAAGTTTGTCTGTCACAGAGTGACAAGGAGGCCAGGGGACTGAGACCTGCTTACTGAGCTGCTTCTCCCAGAGAGCTCCTGGGAGCGCTCCCTCCTGCACCATCATATGAGGATACCAGCCGCGCAGGCAGCAGCCCTTTCTTGGAAGATACCGAGCAAAGTGGTAGGGAGTATGGCATCATGGCATTCCTCCGCCAGGCACTGCCTTGCCTCCGTCCAAACTAAACAGACCCGCGAGGGAGAAGGGGGCTCCCTCTCTGGGGGTTACATGGCTACATGCAAGTAAAATGCAAACTGTCAGCTATTTGAGGAATGTTCTGAACTCACTTCCCACAGCCTAGGGTGTGCTGTGTGGTTAGGGGAGAACCCGGCAGAGGGAGAGGTAGTCTCACAGCTCTGTCAGGGCTCTTTCTGGGGGGCTGCAGCCTCCTCACGTCATGACAGCACATGCTCTTCTTCAACAGAAAAGGAAGCTCATAATGCCAATGTCCTACAGGACACACAGGCGTCCAGCTCTGGCACTGTTCACCAGCAAAACTGGGGCACGGAGTCTGAGGCCCGGAAGCTCCTTAGGTGTGACTGCGACTGTCCTAGGAATTGAACAATGCCTCCCCCACAGGAGAACTTTAGAACAGAATTTCTTTAAGCAGGCGGGCACACCTCAGCAACATGGTGGGTTCAGCTTCACACCACCACAACAGAGTGACTAGATCAAAAAAGGAACCGGGTGAATTTGTTTCCACAAGTGCACAGATGTACACTCACACTGTAGTCTCAATCCAGTGGGCGAGAGCAGTAGGTCTAGAAAGCAATGTCTATACCTTAATTACGACATACCTTGGTGATTAAACATGCAACTCATCACCTGAGCTGCTGGGGGTCACACTTGCTCCTCGCAGAGTGGCCACACATATTCCATTATAGAAAGCACAGTTTTGGTGCCATACAGCGAGTCAGGACTGCACACACGTGTGTGAAGCTAGGGACACCCATGTGTCACTCAGGCCTCACACTCTTTTGTGTTCCAGTTTTGATCTCTATATTGACAAGGGCGATGGTGTTTAATCAAGCCACCCTTTATGAGACCTCTCTTGCTATCCTTCTTCACATACCCACCATCCAACTCATCTCTCTTGTCTCTTGATGCCTCTGGTCTCTGGACGTGGGCTGCTCTAATCCTGTGGCCCTGATTTTGCATTTTCTAGCCACTTGCTCCACAGAGGCTTGGTGATGCCTGGTGTGCATCCTGGACAGTGCTCCAGACTCCTGGGTGGCTCCCAAGTCCTATGATCAACCAGAACTCAGCTGGCTGAAGCCCAGAGGAAGCACGTGGTCTCTGCGAACTGTGAGGAAAGGGCTGCAGGTGCCACCCTGGTCTAGCTCAGTGTTGCCAGGGGCTGATGCCCAGGATCATCACTTTGGTTTGCTTGTCAGTGAAACTGGACATAGAGCTTCAGGGTAAGCCAAAGCAGGCAGATGAAGCCTGTCTAGGCATTTCTCTGCAACTAGGACTGGGTCCTCATCGTGACACCTGACACTCTCGATTCTAGGCCAGCACCCGTGGTTCCTCCCCAGGTGAAAGGCAAATCCCCTGCTGTGAGGGGGAACACCTGGCGAGGGGTGGCTGACTGCCCCGAAAAAGAACTTTTAAAGGGGCCTTCTCCTGTCTCGAGCACCTATTTTGAAGTGAGGGAAGGCATCCGTGACTTCTAGGTCTTTCCTCTCCCTGGGGGAGCCTGGATTAAGTGGGAAGAGTAAATGTAGCAGAAGAGATGCTGCTGTCTGGATTTAATTGAGGTGGCGAGACTACAGCTTCCAGAGCAGTGATGTTGATAAAAGTTATGCTTCACTGGAATAATTATTTTACTTCCCACCAGCTCACAGCTGAATCCTTGTTCTCTTTTGCTTGGGCAATTTAGATACAAGAAACAAGTATATCACTAACACAGGCAGTGCGGTGCTGCAGTGATGCTTGAGCAAATGGGTGTCATTAAATCATTTTTTTATAAAAAACATTTTCCAGTGTTTTACTTCCTAGGGATTCTGAAATGCACAGAAAAAATGATAAAGCACTAGGGAGACTCCATGCCTGAAGCAAGACGGCATCTGCGCAGCTCAGTCATGGTTAGGTCGTGACGTGACACAGGCTGACCCTGGGTATGTCTCTAGCATGACCTCTCTTCTGAGCCTGGTACTCTTGCAGCGAAACAGCTGCATAGATTGCCACCTAGAAAACGTCAAGAACATTTCTCGTTCTCTCACTCAAGCCCACTATTCTCCTGGTATAATTCTCCCCCAGTCCCTTATGCTGAAATCTTGGGAAGAACCCCGAGTCCTGTCTTTGCCTCACCCCACCCCAAGAGCTCTCCCCAAGTCCTACCCCTACAACCCCCGGAGAACCTCTCAATAAATTAATGGCAACTCATATGGATTGGACTTTTAATAGTACTATAGACTGTTCTTCATTGTATGTATTTCAGTCCTGAAAACGTCCTACCAGCTAGGTACTGCTGGTATTTATTACCTCAGTTCTTTTGGAGAAGTCCAAGGGGCTCGGGGAGCTTGTCATAGCAGTTGGACATGAAGTCAGGATTTGACTGAACTCAAGCAGGCTGTACCAGAACTCACCCCAGAACCCAACCTGCCTCCTCTCTAGTCTCACTTCGCACCCAACTCACTGTCTACTCTTCCTTGAGAAACTCCAGGCGTGGTGACACGGAGGTGGGTGCAGTTTTAAGCAGCCAAGCCATGGCTGAGACCACCTGGCAGCCTCCAGTGCCCTCCTCCTCCCACAAGGCGGTGAGCAAGGCTCGGTCTCTCTGCTGACTGTGCTGAGCTGCCCTGCTCCCTCTGCCAGGCCCCTCAGAAAAGTGACCTCTCCCGTCTTTGGTTTTGCAAAGATGTGTGCTGAAGGCAAGACTGTTGACTTCCACAAGGCAAGACCTTTGTTGACTTCCACAGTGGGAGACTGGATTAGTCACCAAGGCTGAGGGAGTAATGGCCTCCTTCTTGGAGGCCATTTTCCTCCACTATCAGATAATCCCCAGGACGTTTACTGCCACACTATATAACAAGGACAGAGACGCAGCCCCAGTGATCATCAACAGACAAACTGATCATGAGGAGGTCATGGTCCACAGGCAACACAGAAAGATGAACAACAGCCACTGACAGTAACATGGAGGGAATGTGAGGGAACTAGGATAATAAAGCAAGTCAGAGTGACAAAAGCAATGTGTGTCTCTAATGGATAAGCTGACAGGAAAATATTTACAAAAGCTAGTGGACATTAATAAATGCAGAAGTTGGGGGGGGGAGGGAAGTTCCGGGAGAAAAGGATAAGGGGGTTAAGGAGTGGAGATGGGGGTGGAGCGGTAGGTATCCCCAGGTCTCCTTCATACAGGACGACTACGTCCTGGAGAAGAAACACTTAACACGGTGACTGGAAGTTGCCAAGATTATAGAAGCTAGGATTGTTATCACAGAGGACTGAAATTATTTTGAATCTCTACAAGACAACAGGTATTCACTAGACTTGCTGTGGCAGTCATTTTGTAAGATATGCACACTCCAAGTGTTTGTGCTGTCCACCTGAAACTCACAGTGGCGTGTCAACTGTGTCTTAATCAAACTGGAAGAAAAAGTCTTATGCAGCTATAAAAGCCTATTGTTAAGAAGTAAGAAGCCCTTTGTTACAGTCACTGTTACATAATTTGACCTACAGTCCAAAGTGACCTCTTAAAAAATATTGAGACCCAAACAATTAAAACTGCCTACTGATTCAGGAATTCTTTCCTTCTCTCTCTAGCCCATTCCTTCCTTCCTCGGGGTGGCAGAGAGCATCATTTTGGGGTCAGGCAGTTCTGGTTAGAAACAGCTGTGGCTTTGCCGTTGGTCTGGGGAGCAGCCTCAGTGAAGTTATCTTATTGTTCTAAGTCATTTTCCTTATCTCTGAAATGGAGATAATACCCTTACAGAGTGGTCTAATATTTTAAAGCAGTTGGTGCAGTGGCTGGAACATAATATGTGCTCAACAAAATGACAGCAGTGAAAATGCCATGAAACTGAGTCAGGGCAGGACTGACAGTAGGTCCCCTTGGGAGTTTAAGCAGCATATGTGAGTCCAGAGAAATGGATCCAGGAGATGGTGGGATAAACAAGGGGATGGTTTCCTAGTGTGTTTCTTAGGGGGAGGGGCCTGAAAAGCACGGTTCTGTCCACTTTCCCCCCATTTTATTGGCTATTGTACTGCTTTTGGTCTTTGTTTCAAAATGGGTGTTGATGGACCTTCCACAGAAATACCTTAATGAGGCATTTACTAAGGCTCGGACACTGCTAAGTTACCTTTTGTATGCATCCTCTTCATTACTTCTTACATCAAATCCATAAACACAGTAATGATATTTTCATTTTAAAGATGGAAGTTGAGGTTCAGAGCAGTTAAGTATAAACCCAGAGTCAGAGTTATTTGGTAGCAAAGCTTAAGGATACTGCTCAAAATGTAGTAGAGAATGCCATAAATTTTCAATTATGCTCCATGGAGTTCAGAATTTCTTACTTGAAAATTATCTTAAAAGGATGAAAATATATAGACTTCAATTCACCAAATGACGGCATTGTGGAGAACAATGCCCGATTTAATGCTTTCTTGGGCAATAACCACCGTAAAAATGATTTCAAAAATTTCTGCATGAAGTGGAAAAGCCACATGCAGGTGTCCTTGACAGCCTTGTTATTAGTGTGCTCAGAAGACTGTGTCCGGAAGGAGCAAATGAGTCTGTGTGCTGTTTGGGGGAGTTTGGTTAAAGCCACTGGCCAGAATGAGGTACGATCATTTCTGGGGGGCTTCCCAATGAGGGGTGGTCAATAGGAAGCCTTCTCTGGAGAGGTTTGCCTAGTGGGTGCTTCTTCTTACCAGGGGTGCCGAGCTGCTTGCTCACATGTGTATCTTTTATTTGGGTCTTTCTCCATCAGGTTCCGGATGAAGTCTTTTGCTGTTCAGGAAGAAGGCACAAAGGGTGGAATCAGTGTATGGTTGAGATGTGACAATGTTTTAGAGAGTATCTTGTGTGATGTGAAATCAGGTATACACAAACCCCAGGGGGCCTGAGACCCAACATTTGGGAGAACCAAAGTGTGGGACTTCTGGTGGTGATGTACGAACGAAATGGCAATCAAACCAGGCTGGGATCCTGCCTTGCAGCCTGAAGTCCCTGCTCTCTGGCAGTGAGTGGTACCTTTGGTTCAGAGAAGAGATAAATGCCCCTCGTTCAGCTCTCTGATGCCTCAGAGAGCTGTTTTTCTGATGTCCCTCCATGTTTTTGATGTCCCCAATTCAACAAAATCCTACGCTCACCAGGTCCTGACAAAGGGCAGTGAATACGTGGCCCTCAAGTAAGCCTCTCAGGAAGCCCAGGAAGCCTCTCACAAGGAGAAGTCACGTGTGAGGAGACATCCCCTGGTGGGAAGGTGGAGCTTGTCTGGGGCCCTAGCACGAGAGTGACCAGAGCAGGGCCCTGAAACATCAGGGGCTGGGTCACAGATCTGAGTGATGACAACCTGGTGGCCAGCTGGTAAGGGGTTGGGACTTCCTAGGCTGCATCCTTCCTAGATCAGAAGTAAAAGGTTCCAGAGGCCATTTCCTGCAATCCTTGGAGGCTTATCCCAGGTTTTAGAAGATTGAGAGGAAAAGCAGGGTGTGTCTAGTTAGGCAGAATTAACACTGAAAAATAACAAACCATAATATTTGAATAGCTCACCTGTGAGTACAGAACGCTGCTGAGTCATTATTTCATGTGATCCTCACGCCACCCTCCATGGTTGGAAGGACACAGAAGTGAGGACACAGAAGCCCAGAGGTTTTAGTTTATATGGTACTTGGTTTTGATCTTCTTCTTCGAGGAGAAGAAGTTGAGCTTCTCTGGGAATGACTGAATGTGGCAGAGTAGCCAAGGCTCTGTAGTGAGGTTCAAATCCCAGCTTTACCACTTAGTGACTGTATGACTTTGGTCAAGTCATTTCACCTTCTGAGCCTCAGTTTCCTCATTGTCAAGTGGGGATAACACCCATCTGATAGGCTGTCCTGAGACCTGTGAGTTAGCTCACATGGAAGGGTTTGTAGTGTTCAGCACTCAGTAAGTGCTAGCTGATAGGTGTTCCTGTGGGGAACACCTATCTTAGGGCATAGTTAGGAGTGGGGTTGGGGTGAGTCCCCATTTCCAGATGTGCCATGCTTATCTTCCACTTTGCGAGTCTAGCCAAGTGTGCACTTCAGGAAGCTTCCTCTGATGCTTCATGTCCACTCTGTGTCCCCTGTGGTCTGTCAGGGTTAGGTGGCCTGTGAGGATCGGTCCTTGGAGACACCCCCAGAGAGTTGAGCTACCTACCAGAGTCGGAGATGTCATCCCAGTAGGGGGAGTCGAACTCATATTCCGCCTTGAGGATCTGTTCAAAGAGCTTGGAGTCATTTTCATCATAAAAAGGAGGGTAGCCGCAGAGCCTGGGAGACAAGAGAGTGGAAGATCTGAAAAGGCTGCACAGTCAGTCTGGCGCTTTGGGCCCAGAAGGAACAGCCAGTTTCCCTCAAGCTGAGGAAACCAGCAGTATGGATAGTGCAACTGCCATGCCATCAGGACGGTCACCCATTCTGCGAGCATTGTGGCATGGAGATGAAACTGTGATCTAGGAAACAGCAAACAAGGGTTAGCTCAGGTGACAACAGAAGGTGGAATACATATATTTAAGTCCACTTTAATTCTCTCCATTATTCACCCTAAAAACCTACCAGACAACCTTGTGCCATGTACATACTACTGATACTATGCTCTGCAATCCTGTCCCTAATCCAAACAAAACGTGTTTACTATTTTAGCGCCCTTGCAGATTCACTTCATTTACTAAACAAGGGGAAAAAGGAAATTTTATAAGCATGAGCATCAAGCTGCCACAGGCTCCCCTAACCTGCACATGATCACTCTGTACTGTCCCCACTGGGCATTTGGGAAGGACCAGGAAAGGTTTTGCTTACTAACAGGCAATACGTATAAGCTGAAGTTGGCATGAATTATAATCCCGCAGTATCATAATACTGTCATTCCATTCTCCCACTGACCCAATCAAGGTTGATTAAAAAAAAATCAAATTAGGTTGTTGGTGCAATAACACATAGTTCTGAAGGTACCTACGGTTATCTGACAAACACAGTAGGAAAGAACGTTGATCAAATACCCCCAAGCCACCTTGTTCCATAAAGTCAGGAAGTCCCACTCCAGTCCGCTCAGTTCCTATGGAACTTTCCCATCAGCAGCCCAATGTTGCATTTTCTGGACCCACATTTCCTGAGCTAGGCATGAGGAGGTGAGACTAGAAAACCCCTAACAATCACCGAGGCTTTTAACTGCGGTTGCTGCAGGAATTCCCCGCCCCACTGATGTGGCTGGCCAGGGGTCAGGGGAGAGCCCAACCCAGGCATGAGGCTCACATGGAACTGGCGCAGGGTCTCTTTGGGCCTGGACACGCAGGAAGGGGAGGCGTCACTGCTGTGCCTGTGAGTGACCAACAGGCAGAAGACTGGGCTGGATTCTGGAAGGCCAGGTCAAAGCTGCATGGAGGAGAACTCAGTTCTGGTTCTGACAGCCCAAAGGTGGAGGGCCTGGGTCTCCCACATAACCCAGCTTTGCTCACACCATGAGGACAGCCTGGAGACTGGCTGAGTGGGGGCCAACTAACAGGGGTCAAGAGATTCCAAGTCTTCAAAAGATCAGGCTGTGGGCAAAGAAGCAGTTAAATAAAGGTTCAAAACCGCCTCAGCCGTGGGCAATCTCAGCTTCTCCTGCGACCACTCGTGGTGTTACCAGCCAAGCTGCATGGGGGAATGACAGATGACTTTTTTTTTTAAGGCTGTGAGACATTCTGTGGATGATAAGATCCAAAATCATCTCTCACATAAGGTTGATTTGGAGGCTAAGTGCCTGGAAAACTTCATTTTTAAAGATATGCTGCTTTTGGCAAAATGAAAGAGCCAGTATTCTTGAAACCACTAAGCACATATTTCACTGCCTGGGGAAAGCCTGGAGCTGGGAGATGGATATGTAAATGCTTCCCATAATGAGGATTTGGACTAGATGAAATGTACATATTAGGAAAAGCAGACAGAGCAAAATGTTAGTTCTTCTTGGAAAATGACTAAATTTCAGATATGTGAAGTTTTTGTTTATTAACAACTGAGTGTTTTATTTTACAGTTTGGCTTTCTTCTCCCGGGAAAAAATCTTTAAGAAAATTCCAAGGACAATGTATTCTTCTTATGCCAATTTTCTTAATGTAAATCCCAATTTCTTCTGGTTTTTGCTCTTCTTGGCAGGGGCAGGAGGGTATAGAATGTTTCTGAGGTTGAACTAAGAGTGGAAGAAAAGAGTGACTCTAAGTGAATTAAAGAAAGGATTTGAAAACAAGGGTTGTAAAAGAACAAACAGCAGTGGCAAAATCTTCCTCAGATTTAGAAACTTCAGAGATCTCCCTGGCCATGCTATTGCATCAGTGGATTTGTGTCGAGGATCCAAACAGAAAAGTAACAGCTTTGAGCTCTTTATCTTCATCTACAGGTGTGGCTTCCCTGGTCCCGGACCTGGCTCCTGGCACCTGTAATTCCAGTGAGGGCATTCATTTACATTCCACAAACCCATTCCCAATTTTCAAGGCTGAAAATGTTATGGTTTGGAGTGACATCTAGACTTGGCAAGGCAGAGCCTGATGTTAACGCAGGTGACATCCATGCCGGCCTCTGCTGTCACCTCCATTCCAGCCTCCCGCTGGCCAGGTACGCAGAACTCTTGCACCTCTCAGTCACATGATGGCTATTTTGTTAGCCCTTTTATATACCTGTGACACACTTCTGTGAATGTGTTGCTAAATTCTAGTATAGCCTGGATAAGCATTTATTCTAGGTTAAGAATTCCACTAAGAGCTTTGCAGTATTCTCTCAGCTAAAACTCACTTCCCCAAGAGACAGGTGTCCACACACCTTCCATGTGCCTGCCCCTCAGACCCACTCTCAACCCCTGCCTCTGCGGGCTCACCTTAGAGATAGGGGAGAGGTCTGAACTTGCCGACATTTGACAAGGGTCAGCCAAGGGGAGATGGACCCCAAGGAGGGAATCAATGCTCCCAGTCAGAGCTCCTGTCCATTTCCAGATGAGAAAAGGAAATGTCACTTGCTCACACGTAAGGGGAAGAACAGAATTTTAACTCTATTTATCCAATTCCAGAGACTTTAGGCAGTACAGCCAGTTACTCTACTATAGTGGAGCAAATACATATACACCTGCTTCCTAAACTGCCTCTGAAGTCAGGCTGCCTTGTTTTCATGTATTTTTTTGTTTGGAAACAGCCAGAAACCAGAATAGAAGATCTGCCAAGGAAATAAAGAACAGTCTGGAGTCCTTGAGGTGAGCAAATCAATACATAGTTTTCTACCCAGCCTGCCTTCCTGAAAGACAGGTTGGAGAACAGCCAGGACTGTGACGGCCTGTCTGTGAGAGAGAGGGAATGGAGAAAAATGAGCCTGAGACCACATGGAGCCAAATTCCAATATGATCACGTCCAGTAGCCTTTGTCTGGTGCTCTGCTCCCGTGCAGAGTCAAAGGGCAGGTAAAGGAAATCCCCCCTCGAGACCTGGAGCTGTGCAGGGCGGGCCTTAGATTCAGCGCCCCAGAGTCTCCAGGAAATCAAGCGCTATACATGAATGAGTTTTCTAAGCATCTGAAAAGTGCTCAAGTGCCACACATATTTTAAATGTTACATAAAAAGTATTTGATTGTAACAGTCCACAGTGACAACTGAATAAATATCAGAAAACGGCAGCCCAGACCTTGTTGTTTTCATCTAATGGGAGGGAAGAGCTGTGAGGGAGAAGAGGAAAAAAATATTTTTCAAGGGAAGGCTTGTTGCTATTGCATGAAGAACAAGTCAAAATTTTCTATCTGAGGGGGTATGGCCTCCTCACCTGGGTTTAGTGGCCTTAGGAAATTTAAATGTCCTTTCTGAGCTTCGGTTTCTTTTGTGAAACATGCTCACCTTACAGCGAGATATTATAATATACATAATATATACTATATTACAGTGTAGATGATGTATAAACAGACATATGGATGGATGGATGGATGTTAGATGTCATATATGAAGGTGCCTGCCACGTGGTAATCCTTAAATACCAACTTCCTGACCCTTACACATCCCTCTTCTTTTCCATCCCATCGGTTCCATCGAGTCCTTTGCTGGTTCTTTCCATACCTGAAGCGGGGTGCAGGCGTTCACCATCAGAAAGAACAATGGGAGGGGCAGAGAGAAGAAGAGAAGCCCCAAGACACTCATCCAACGTCCCACACGCTAAATGTAAAGTGAAGCACGTGTTCCTGCATTTTTGCGCAAACTCTCGGACCCATCCACTAGCGACCATACGTCCTGACGGAAACATCTAAGGAATGGAGAAAGATGTGTGTCTGCTCATTATTTTGTGTTCTGCGTTAAAATAGAACAGAATGTACTAGAGGCTGGCTTTTACATTCTGACTTTAGTATATCAGTATCTCCAAGCATTTCATTGGGAAGCCTTCCCTTCTAAGACGGGCTCAAGCTTCCCTGAAAATATCTGCTCAAAGGCATCTTTAAGAATGACTGTTTTTTTTTAAAGATTTATTTATTTATGCATACAGAACTGGGGTATAGACCAAAGGCACAGGGGTTGTGAGAGGATTCACCAGAGACAGAGTGGGGAGCAGAACAAGAAGATCGATGAAGTACACTGCTGAGGGGAGCAGCAGGCGGGTCAGGAGAGGACTGCCGTGCCATGTGGTCACCTCCTGGGCCGGATATAGAACGCACACTGAAGCAGCAGCAGCTAGCTTGCAGTGCTGTGCTCTAACCTGTTGCACCACCTGGGAGGGCCCAAGAGTGACTATTTTTATGCAGTTAGACCAGTGTACCATACAAATGACTGAAACAGCAAAGTTCTGTGTTCACTGCAAACTAAATGAGCCACATAAGGCCAACAACTTAGGCGCAAAGGGCCTCTGAACACACTGCTAAAGTTAACCAAGCATGGGCATCCCTTCTTCAGAACTCGGCTGTCCTGGCTGCAGTTAACTGTAGGCAGCTGACTCTTGCTCTTCCCGCCTGGTGTGTGGCGGGTACTGAGCAAGTGCACACTGAATGACAGGCCCTGTGCTAAGGAAGCTGAGTTTTATTAGTCTTAATCTGGATAAGATGACAGGTATGTGAAACTAATAAAGCAAAGTCTTTCAAGTTGATAAATCTCTCATACTAAGTTATATGGTTGGCTTAGTGAACAATAGTTCCACATATTATTCAGATTTTTTTAGAGACTGACCAGTGAGAACCAATCATGACTCAAGATAATTTAATTACTTCGGGGTCATAGATTCGATTATGTGCACTCCAGTGCTTCCTCCTCACAAACTCGGAGATAAGGCAGGAGAAACTG